CATCTTTGTTTAGCAATGTTGTTTTAAGAATTTAAAAATTTTTTTTTGCTTGAATGAATAATTCCCGCCTCTGATTCTTCTTTTAAATAAACTGTTGCGCGCACTCCTATCTGAAAGTGGGCGTGCTCTCAACTGCCAATGGAGCTCTGCTGTCAAGGAGGTTTTCCAGGGATTTTGGCAATTGTGGAGGGACGGCATGGCATTTTGTATTATCCACCCTCTCTGAATTCCATTATAACTCATCTTTTGATTTTTCAATGTAAAGCTGGCTGATAATGTTGGAGAGAAGAGAGAAGGGACGTATCGCATTCTATATTGATTCTTAATTAGATTATCCCCCCTCCCTCACTCTCTTCACCTCCACTATCTCCCTCTTCTAAATTCTATTGTTTACCAAATTCCATAAACATGACTGCCCTTGTGATAATAAATAATAGAATTATTTGGGGGGATCTTTTTTTAAATTACCCCCCCCCCTCTCTATTGCCAATAAAGCTCCGCTGTCAAGGAGTTTTTCCAGGGATTTTGGCAATTGTGGAGAGACGGCATGTCATTTTTTAATTACCCACGCTTCTGAATTCCATTATCCCTCGCCTTTTGATTTTTCAATGTAAAGCTGGCTGACAATGTTGGAGAGAAGAGAGAAGGGACGTATCGCATTCTATATTGATTCTTAATTAAATTATCCCCCCCCCTCTATTGCCAATAAAGCTCCGCTGTCAAGGAGTTTTTCCAGGGATTTTGGCAATTGTGGAGGTTTTTTAAAATTTTTAAAATTTTGGAAGCTACTTATATTTCTTTATGAAAATAAATTATCGTAAATAGAAGAAAAATTAATTTAATACAAAAACATGAAAGGTGGATGTCATGAACAAAGTAGTACATACATAAGACATTTTTGCCTTAACAATTTCCGGATCGATTCTGGATATTCGATTACAATTATTTTAAATTTTTCTTTGTTTTCATCTTTATTCTATATTGTTTATGGTAACAAATATTACATAAGTAGTTACCAGGTTCTGAATCTCGCATCCATCTCGTTGTTTGTTTACTTCCGCAAATTTGGCAATGTCGATCGTGCTTAAGAGAAAGTTTTTAGAACTGATTTATAGCAAAAACAACAGTGTTAGGAATTAAAAAGAATTATCATACATTACATATAAATTATATTAATAAAAATTTAATGTTGAATGTTAGAAATTAATGTGCCCTGATATGATTCTACCAGTTTATTAGAGTGTGCCTTTAAAAATTCGATCTAAATAAAATTTTCGATATAATGATGTTTTGAACTTTTTCATTTATTATTCTAGTTCCAAAATCTAAAAAATGCCGAATACGCAAAATAATTTTTAAAAAAATTATCATATTTTTTTAAACTTTTTTCTAAATTAAGAAAAAAATTATTATATAAAATATTAGATTTAGGCAATTCTTATAGTGCTTATTTTAGGTATAACAAACACATTTAATTTTCGGAAACACTAATTAAATAACAAATAAAATCCATTATGTTTTAATATTTTTATGTTAATTATTTTTAAGCAAAACTTCCTTAATAATATACCTTTTCCTTAATAAACCATAATTTTTTAGTTCTATGCTTTCCAACTTTTCGTATATAATCGCCACAATTACCGCACAAATAATATGTTTTTAGATATTTATGCCATCTTTTATCTAGTATAACTCCACAATTGAAACAATGTAAATCTTTTTTTCATCAATTTCGGTTACTATAATATTTAAAAATAAATTTAGTTAAAAAATAAAGCCAAAAATAAAAATTTTTATTTATTTACATATTTTATTGCCAACGTAAACAATACAGCTTATTATTTTGTTTGGATATTCAACTTTTTGTTTTTCTAACAATTCAATTTTATATCCAATTAAATTAATTTCCGTCCAATAACTTGATAAAAGTTTGTCTTTGTAATTTTCTATATTTCCTTTTAATAATTCTTTTTTATTTATTTTTATATTTACTAAACTCTCATATAATATACAAGTTTCATAATAATTATGTTTTTTTATAAAATTATTATTTCGGAGTAGCTTAAAATTATAATTTAAATTTAGTTACATTTAAACAAAATGGGACACGCCCACCTTGTCGCGCGGCCACCTTGTCGCAGAGCCATAACTTGCTAAAAAATTTCTGGCCCTTATCAATTTTGGTACCAATCTCTTTAGCTCGATGAGAGGAATCGTTTAATACTAAAGTTGGTAAGATTCGGAAAACTTGAAGGAAGTTATGGCTCTGCGACAAGGTGGCCGCGCGACAAGGTGGGCCGTACCCAAACAAAATATATACAAATTATTTAAAATTAGTTAAGGTTTTTTTGGTTTGTACAGGATGTCTCAAGTCTATGCCTGCACATTTTTTATCATAACTTTATTAAAACTCAATTAAATAATATCAAAATACAATCAAATAATAGAGAATTAAGTGGAGAATAAAAATAATTGGGATTTTTCGAAATACCCCCTTTGGCTGTAAGACAGAGGCGCAGACGCGAGCAAATGAAAAATCAGAATTATTTTTGTTTTCCATTTAATTCTCTATTATTTTGATTGTATTTTGATATTATTTGATTGAGTTTTAATAAAGTCACCCTGTAATTTAAATAACCAAAATATAAAATACCCGTTTCTCAAATCCAGGCAACAAATTTTGAACAATTTCATTATTGCCTATCTCAATCAAAACTCTCATTTTTAGAGTAAACGATGGAAAGTATGATTTATCACTAACTTTAACTTTAAAAATATTTCTATCAACGTTTAAGTCAATTAAACTCAAATATCCTTCCATATTATGAAATCCTTCTATATAATAAGATTTTTTTCAATTATTTTCAACACAAAACGCTCCTTTAGTTGAACATTTTTTAAATAAATAAATTCTCTTTTTTCTTTCCAATCATTTTTGATTTTCACCTCAACACTAATTAATTTTCCGTCGCATTGAATATTTATATGAATAATCAAATATACAAGAAAGATAATTAAAAATTTAATCATCTAAATTATTCTATATTAAATAAACTAATGGCAATATTCGCACCAGGGTTGCCGCGGATACTAAAAATCTTCGCGCATCGCGTTTCGGGCGGCAACCCTGATTCGCACATTACCATTTATAGTTATGCTTGGGAGCTCCCTAAACAAACCTTCTAATCCCTAAACAAACACATAGCGCTTGAAAGCTGCATGTATTTGTCAGCTATGCTATGTGCTCCGGTAGTTTTTTCCGTTAAAGTTAAGAAAGATCATTGAGCATGATCGAGTCATAACCGAAAATTTTCGGTCTCGAAGAAAATCATGTTCAGATAATTAATAAATCAAAAATCTATCCTCAAATATTTTTTAGTTTTTTGTTAAATTTTAGATTTTTTACGAATAAAAATAAATTTTCAAATATTTTCTTCGATGTGAACATTTAAAAGAATATTTTTTTCTTCTTATTTTTTGATTTTGAATAAATAAATATTAAGAAATAAGGAAAGAACAATATCGATAAATTCTCAAAATTTGCCGTGTAAAGCAAGTGCAAGCGACAAACTGGACAATTTATATGGAGTGTTTAGAATTTTGAAATTTGCTCGTACTCGTACTTATGTACCTTGTCAGGTGCTTTCGGCAGAAGTGACGTGGGCAGTGGTTAAATGGGCAGGAGTGATTCAAGCAATGAGTTGAATTGGGCAGTGAATGATTTGGACAGTAACCTTTTTAAAAAAATATTTTCCACATAAAAACAAATTGATTATCAACTTAAAAATATTTATGCATGACTTGGATAGTAAATTTTATTCTAACAATATATTTATAGAAACAAAATGGAGACAATAAAATCATCTACACTCTTGCCTAATCTTGAATTTTCAATCGTCTTTTAAAACTCAATGTAAATTCAATTTTAAATTAAATTATCATTAATTCTTTTACTTCATAATATTATATGTTAAAAATTTTTTAAATTGAATTAATTAAAAAAGAAGAAGCTCAGACTCCTAATTCGGCCGGATCCGGTTCTGCAACTAAAACTACTATTAGCTAATACCTAAATATGCCTGAGTTAATAAGTTCGTTTTAATATCAATGTTAACGTGCACTTAATCCATTTAATAACATCCCCAATCTAACAAAAAATTTCAATTAATATTTATTTAAAGAATAAAAATCGCAAAAAAAAATAAAATAAAATTCCCGTAAAATTTCTAGAAAAAATTTTTAAAAAATTTATTTTCTGGGTTTCTAAGCTCTTTTAATTATTTTTTCTTTAATTTTTTAATCAGCTCTTCTAAAATTTTTCTTCTTCCAAAATTTTTTTTCTTCTTCATTTTTAAGCACTAATAGAAATATCCGACAAAGTGCTACTCGAATTTGCATTGCTATTATTATTTGTTCCTTCCCCAATTAATTGTGTTTGGCTAGATGAATTATTTATTAAATTGGTGTTTGTAGAATTACAACTTGTTAGTAATAAATTTGTTGGTTTATTGAGGGTTTTTGAAGGTTTTTTGGTGTCTTGTAAAGCTTCAGAATTTGTTTTTTTGTGGCAAGAAATTAATAATTGTTGGCTGGTAGCGACACTGTCGGTTGGACTGGAGACGGTGGAAGGCTTCTTTTGGTTACTCAAAGAGATCTTAAATTAATTTTTATTATTTTTAAAATTTAATTAAGATTCTCAAAAAATTAAAAATTAATTAAAACGGGTTATGGGATATTTAAATTTTATTAATATTATACTCGATATTATCGAAAAACATTTTAGAAAAAGTTTTTAGGTTTAAAAAAATTTTCCTAATTTTTTAAAAATTCTAAAAATAATTTTTTAATTTAATTTTTAAAAATATTTCAACGGATTAATTTCGTATATTTTTTAAAAATTCTCTAAAATTCTATTTAATCCCAAATTAATTCCGAATTAATTAATTATCGAGTCTTTAATTATAATATTTTTTAAATAATTTTAGAAATTCAAAATTTAATTAAAAACCCACATAATGAGGTCCACCTTTCCCTCCCCGACTTTCAAAATCCTCATCATCATTATCATCACCCCCAACACCCCCAACGTGTCTCAAAGCATTAGTTAAAGTATTTCGACGAATTTTAGCTTTTAAATATTCTTTGTGTTTATTATTTGATTTTTCTCCAAAACGTTTTTTAATTAAATTAATTATTTTTGTTAAAATGTAGAGGAAAATTGTGATGACGAGCTTTGAAAGAAAGAATAAATTATTAAAAATATTTAAATTAAATATTTTTTTACCAAGGCAAGTAATGTACACATAACAGTCAATCCGACACTATTTTGATTATTTTGGTGATTTAGATTAACTGACCATAAACTCAAATAAGTAGCTATAATTTTAAAAAATTTAAAATTTTTTCAATTAAAAAACAAGTTCGATATTTTTGAAATACATAAAAATAGTTGGGATAGGAAATCATAAAAATTGGACTGTGAATTTAATTTAAAATTTGCTCTAGTCAGGACCTCGAAAATTCCAACTTTAAAATGACTCCAGATTCAGAAAAAGCTATGTATGGAAGGGGATCTAGACCAATCTCTATTCTAATTATTTAAGGAATTTATAGGAAATTGGATTAAGTAAGCTAGAGGATTCGACTTGATCTTAAATTCTCATTGATGTAACTCCCTAATATTTTTTTATAAAACCGTTTTTTAATTTAATATATTTTTAAGTTTATTTTAATTACCAACATTTTGTTTTTTCAAAATTTTGTTCCAAAATCCCCCCAAAATCATCAGAAAATTGAGCGCAAATATTAGCCAAATTATTAACACATTCTTTATCATTTTGTTCAATTTTTGTTAATAATTTTGTAGAAGAACATTTACAAAATTGGTTTGTGCATTCTGCCAATTTGGCACTTAATAATAAAGCAAAGGAATTTCCGTTAGCTTCGATATTCCCTTCTCCCAATTTTTTGTTTTGTAAATTGTTGGTACAAGATTGTAATTGAACACTGCAATCTACAAGTCCTTTAAAAAAATTCCTCTCATTATTTTTTAATGAAATAAAAAATTAAAGAAAAACATTTTTTACTATTGAAAAAAAATTTTATAGATTTCAAAAAAAATTTTTTGAATCGTTTAAAATTTAAAAAAAATCTATTTAAAAATATTTCAATTTTTTTAACCAAAAATTAATTTAAAAAAATTTTTAATAATGTAAAATAATTTAAAAATATTATTAATAAATATTTCAAATTTTAATTTTAAATTTTTTTCATAAATAAATCAGAAAAATAATTTATAATCTAATTAAAACCCTACTTTTATCAGAACAATCCTTCAATGGGAATTTATGAATAACTGCACTCTTTTCATCTTTGTTTGCTTCTTTTTTCCCACTAAATTAAAATTTTAAAATTATTTTCTCCGAAAAATTTTTTTATTTAAATTAATTTTAGGGGTTTTTCTTATATAAAAATTCAAAACACCCCAAAAATCATTAATTAAATATTAACATAATTAATATTCAAAAATAAACAAAATTCTAAAAATTATTTTAAAAATAAGCAAAGTCAAAAAATTTAACCCTCTAAGCTTTTTAATATTTTCAAAAATAATTTTTTTCCAAATCTTCAAAAATAATTTACCCCTTATTTTTCGCTTCCTCCCCAACATTTTTACTTTTATTCTTCTTCTCAGCCTCAATTAATTCTTTTGCTTTTTTCTTTTTTTCAGCTTCTTGTTTTTCCCAAACTTCCATCGCCGCTTTTTGTTTATTAACTAAATCAACAGAAGAAGCATAAGCAACACCCCCAAATATATTAACAATATGGCAAAAAGTGCTGCTAACATCCAAACATCCATTTTCTTTTATTTCAACAGTTTTGTTGTTTCCGTTGGAATTTTGTGAACGAGCAACTGTTCTTTCCAAACAATGGCAAAATTGTTCGTCGCAGATTTGGCGGTTGCGTGTTTCATCCATATAACAAGCATCGTGAACAACACAACAAAGATCTGCTTCAACTAAAGAAATAAAAAAGAACTAAATAAACGTTAAAAACATTCGAATAAATAAATGTTTGGGAATGTTTGTATGATGTTTAGATGTTTGGGAAATATGTTTTGAATAATGTTTAGGTACTGTTTTAATTTTGTTTGAGTAATGTTTTTATGATGTTTGTTTGAAATGATAATGCTTAGTGTTAGATATATGAAAACAATGTTTGAATGATGTTTTGAATTTTTTTAGTATGTTTCGTAAATGTTTGAAAAATTATAAATGTTTTGTATGGAACATTTATAAGAATGTTTGTTTGAATAATTCTTGGTGTTGTTTGTTTGGAAAAAATAATGTTTAGATCTTATGAAAATGTTTGGGAGTTTCTGTTTTTGAAATATTTTTAAATGTTGGATGTTTGGGAGAGTGTTTGTGAATGTTTGTTTCAATTATTAAAAATTATTTGATGTTTTGATATTAAAATTATGTTTTTATAAATTTATTAAAGATGTTTTTAATTATTTAACTGTTAGAACTTTTTTATTAATGAAACTTTGAGAATGTTTAAAGCATTTATAAATATTTAAAGCAACTTACACATTCTTTTTGGGCATTGTTCTCTTGCCATTTGATGCGAGAGACTTTTGTCAAAATCGTCAGATCCACAATGCCAATGCTCCTAAAAATTTTCAAAAATATTTTTCAAATATTCTTTAATAAATATAAACTCACGTAAGCAACAATCTCACTTCTTGGCGATTTAATGGCACCTTTTTCTTCATTTCCGACTGGTGCTGACTGTAAAATGTTGGCCATTTGTGTAAGGAATATAAGAAAAATTAGAGTTGTTCGAAGCCGGAGAATTTTGTTTGAGATGGGAAAATGGGGGGAAGAAGGAGATAAACTAAAAGAAAAATGTTTTAAAAAATAGAAAAATCTCAACAAACCCGTTCTTGAATTTGTTGTGCATTAAAATAAAAATAAGCTGAAGTATTAAAATAAAATGAAAAATTTATGGCCAAGAAAAGTAAGGGAAAGCCCTGAAATTTAAAATTATTTAAATTGTTAAATGTTTTTAAATTTGTTAAATGTTTGGAATGTTTTAAAAATAGATGTTTTAGTAGTGAATAGGTTTTTAAGTTTTATTACTTGGGGAACTGTTTGGGAGAGTAGTTTAAAGTTTTATGTTTTAAAAACATGTTTAGATAAGTTGGAAAGGGTTTAATTCTATAAAAATTTTATTTGATGTTTTGTTTAAGATGTTCAGTGTTTGGAAAAATGTTTTTTGAGCTTAATTATTTAGATGTTCGGAAAATAAATGTTTTTAGATGTTTTTAGAATGAAAAATGAAGTTTAGATATCAAAACATTGTTTTTAATATTTATAGATTAAGATGTTCAAAAAACAATGATGTTTGGATAAAAACATTTTTTACTTGGGAGATGTTTTGTTAATGCTAGGGTGAATTACCAAGAGTTTTATCCCAAGGCAATTAATAATTAATAAAAAGTGTCAATTAAATTATAAAAAATTAAAAAATAAATTAAATGAATAAATAAATAAAATATTTTCTAAATAAAATAAACAAATCTCTCCTATTTTTAATTTATTTATGCCTATTGTTTCTTACAATTTTTCTGTCATTTTGTAATAAACTTGTAATAAAAGTTGTCACAGATCTCGAAAAATGATTAAAATTTCTTTAGTGCTAAAAAAGAATTTTTTATAATTTTTTAGTTTAAATTTTCGAGATGGGAATTTTCTCAGAAAATAAATGGAGAATAAATATTTTTTTATTTTTTATTTTAATATTTTTTGCAATATAAAAATTGATTTTTGATCAGAAAAAACTGATGAATAGTACAAGAGGAATTTTGAAAATTGGAAATCTGAAAATTTAAATGTATTCGGTAATGATTTGTAAGTTTTTAAAGATTTTGGATATACTTTAGCCGGTGGCCGGTTCGAAACCGATTCGAAATATATACCATTCGATTCGTCTCGGCGAGCTGAGTCGAATGGTACCACTCCCAGGGTGCGGAAACGCCTGTGGACCGAGATATAGGTCCCCGAAAATCGAAAAACCATAGGGGGGAGTAAGCACATTTTTGGGGTGAAAAATTCGAATATGCAAATAATAGCTCATTCGAAAGAGCTCCTCGAGCTGAGTCGAATGACACCAAAATCAGCAAAATCCGACTTGATTGGACCGAGATATAGACCCCTAAAAACCGAAGATCCAAAGGGGCGATTTTTGGAATAAAAAATTTTTTATAAAAATAATCCTCATCCGAAAGAGCTCGGCGAGCTGAGTCGAATGACACCAAAATCACCGTGATTGAACAAGATTAGACAAAGTTATAACAAAAAAACAAAAAACCTAAACCTATGGAGCGTCGGCGAGGCGCTTGTGCAAAACCCCGCGCTTCGCGCGGGGTTTTGCGGCACGCGCCTCGCGGGGAGTCTACGGGCGCTGGGTCTGGGCTCGTAACATAAACCTATTCCTATCTCCCTTACTCTGAACGTATTTGGGGCATCCGAAGCAGCAAAAATCTCCATAGATGCCATAGGTAAGGAGCTAAAATAAAAGATCATAACTTTGTCAAATCAAGTCGGATTTCGGTGATTTTGGTGTCATTCGACTCAGCTCGAGATTCTCTTTCGAATGAGCTATTATTTGCATATTCGAATTTTTCACCCCAAAAATGTGCTTACTCCCCCCTTTGGTTTTTCGATTTTCGGAGACCTATATCTCGGTCCACAGGCGTTTCCGCACCCTGGGAGTGGTACCATTCGACTCATCTCGCCGAGACGAATCGAATGGTATATATTTTGAATCAGTTTCGAACCGGCCACCGGCTAAAGTACAGCCAAGATTTTTAAAATTCGGAAAAAATTTTCGAATAATTTTTAAATAAATTTTAAAAGGGAAAAATTTTTTCTTATTTTCTCCTAATTACATAATACCCGCATACCACATACCAGAGCGACGGTCAAAATTTCGATTTCCGATTTCCGAAAATTTAGGCTGATTTTCGAGTTCCGACTTTTGAGCCATTTTCGATTTCAGAAGTTCCGATTTCCACACCTTCGTCATTTCCGACCGACCCCTGCTACTACATATACCTATTTCAATTCTTTTCTACATAAAGAAGTGCTATGTAGTTAATTTAAAAAATTACAGTAATTTTCATATATTTTAAAACAAAATTTTTTCAAATTAAAAAATATCCAAACGGTCACGTTTTGTTTTTACAATTTAATTCTCTCAGTCAGTACAATTTAAAAACGGAAACGGGGAAGGGATTCAAACATTTTATAATTTGAAAGAAAAGTATAGATAGGGGTTGTTAACAATGATATTTTCTAAATTTTCTGTGACAAAATTATTTTTTTAATTTTACATAAATGTACACGTGAATGTGAGAGATTTGTAAATAAATATGTATTTTTGTTTGTTTTTTACTAAAGACTAAAAATCGTTAAAATTATGGATAGATAAAGCTTTGAAAGAATGAATAAAATTAATTCTCAATAGGAATTTTGTCAAAATTTTAGCCAGTGATGAGGGTCAAGTTACTTTCCCGTAGGAAATCTGAAAAGACAAGGATCCGGGACAGGTTTTGTGTCAAATAGTATTAAAAATAAATTTTAAAAATAGCTATTCAAAAATCCTTGAAGTATCTCGATATCCACGAAATTATTTTAAAAATACTTAGAATTTCTAAGTTAATAAAATTTAATGAAAAATTATAAAAAATTAAAAAAAATTTTTAATTTGTTAAAAACAACAAACACGTGTTTATTTAAAATTCTCCTTTTCACGTGCAATTGTTTATTTAATTATGGACAGAATTAAGAATATACATATTTTCCTTCTAATTAACATCAAATCAGATTAAATTAATTTGCGAGCGATTTATTTAGAAGATTGTGATTAATTGATTATATGGTACTTAAATGATGACATGAAAGAATTGTCAAAAATTAGGGAAAAATTAGATTTATTTGACAGATGATAAACCAGAGATCGGACTAAGACGAGATCTCGATTAAAAGTCTCAGTTATCGAGGTAGATGACAAGATCTCGAACAAAAAAATCTTGGTTATCCAGATAGATATTTTTCGAGATATCGATCTCGGTTCTTATACGACACTCATAGTCCGGTTTCTAGTATAAATGATTGGAAATTGCTAATAGTTTTTGTATAAAGGTTTTATAATTTTTGCAAAAATCAAGCGAAAGTTATATTTATTATTTTCTCTAATAAAATTATGTCTCTAGAAAAAGGATAAAGGAAGATGTTTAGCTTATCTATAAATTTGTTAAGAACGATATTTTCTAAGAACTATATTTTCGAGTCCGGTATTCGATGATTTTACATTTTGCCCCCCCCCCTCCCCTGATCACCGTAAGTTGGCCTGCTCTAATGATAAAAATTATTTAATAATTAAAAGAAAATTTTCTTTAAAAATTCAAAAAGTGAAAATAAACAAACAAAGAAAGGTAAGGAGCTCTCGGTAATGTCTTTGTTGTCACGTGGTTTTTTCCTCAAAATTTTTTTTGAGGAGACAAAATTGATGAGGGCAAAAACGTGGGTGGATATAATCTTGTCACGAGATGCCCAATTAAAATATTTTTAATTTTTTTAAAATTGTTTTAAAAAATATTTCCCTTCCTTAAAAGATTAGCTTATATTTAAATAAATTATAATTAATTATTATTTAATGAGAAGAAATAAAAATGAAAAAGTCTTGTAATTTAAGGTTTATTAAAAAATTTGGTAAGGGAGATTTTCCTTTTTCTTATTTTCGTATTATTGTTGTTTAGGCTTAAATCTTTCGACTTTAAAATCTACATACATTAATAACTCCTGTGTAGATTAATAACAATTGATAGACCCCTTAGACCCTTTCAAAGACCCTTACCTAACAATTACTTATAATAGACCCTTACATAGCCATCCTTTGATTGAATACTTAAATAACTTACATAAATAATAATTTTAATATTAAAATTTGTTTCGCAATCTTGACGAAGCCATAAATCCAATTACTTCTTTACGCAATTTCCGTACTATTTTGTACTTTTTGCGCATACTAATTGTATTTAATAATCCTTCTCATATTTAATGAGTAGACTTTTTTAATTCTTGGCTTAAATTATTTTTAAATCCCTTTAATAATCCTTTTTTAAAGGTATATTTAAAAAAATTTTTTTATTATAAAGAAAAAATGACTAGACATGGGCGGGGTGAGTAAGTGTATAATTTTGGCTTTTAGTCAAAATTATTTATAAGAAAAAAAAGGAAATAATTAATGACAGGCGAGAACGTCAAAATTACAGTACTTTTTGGATAAAAAAAATAAAAAATAAATAAATATTTTTAAGAAAATATTTTTAAAAATAAGAAAATTAAAAACTAGAGTTAATGGAAATGAAGAAGTTCAGAAATAACAACAATATTTAAATTTCACAAAAAATAAAACGGAAAAAGTCTCGAAAAATGTGGTTACCAGAAATAAAAATAATTTAAAAGAATTTGGAGATGAATGAAATTTTCCGGAAATGTAGCTTTCAGAATAATAAGGGAAATTAAATAAAACTTTCCGGAAACAAAATATCAAGTAAATGTTTTAATAAATAAATATTGGGTTTTCCGGAAATTCTACCATTCCTGAAACGATTTTAAAAAATTAAGCTTTTAAAAAAAAATAAACTTTAAAATTTAAAAGTAAATTTAAACTTGATAACATTAAGAAATAATACATATTAGTAAAACCTTTATTTTATAAAAGTTTATGTTCTGACGGGCTATAAAAATTATTTATTTAGTACGAACAAGTTTTTACAAAATTGTAAATAAATGACGAAATTTTAATTTGATATTTCCATTATGTAAAAAATTCAAAAAAAAGAAAAAGTTTTCAGAAGGCATTAATTAAATAATTAATTTGGAGAGGGGTAAGTTCTTGGAGGGATGACAAGAAAGGAATTGCCGAAATTTGG